AACCTAAAAAAAGAAAGAAAAAAAAACCTCATAATAAAATAAGAAATTGAAGTGGTAATAAAAAAAAACTCCCAACAAAAAACAGCCCTGGCCCAGACAGCTTCAATGGAGAATTATTCCAAACTTTCAGAGAAGAGCTAACACCAATACTACTAAAGCTATTTCAGAGCATAGAAAAGGAAGGAATACTCCCAAACTCATTCTGTGAAGCCAGTGTAACACTGATACCAAAGCCAGGCAAAGACACAACAACAACAAAAAGAAAATTATGGACCAATATGCCCCATGGACGTTGATGCAAAAATCCTCAACAAAATTCTAGCCAATAAAATTCAATAGCATATCAAAAAAATAATACAACATGATCAAGTGGGATTCATACTACGTATGCACGGATAGTTCAACATTAGAAAATCGACCAATGTAATCCACCACATAAATAAAACAAAAGAACCACATGATCTTATCAATCGACACAGAAAAGGCATTTCACAAAGTCCAACACCCATTCCTGACCAAAACTCTCAGTAAAATAGGAATAGAAGGGAAATTCGTCAACATAACAAATGGTGTTTATACAAAGCCAACAGCCAACATCATTTTAAACAGAGAGAGACTGAAAGGATTCTCCTTGAGAACAGGAACCAGATGAGGATGTTCTTTATCACCACTCTTAGCCAGCATTGTGCTGGAAGTCCTAGCTAGAGAAATAAGGCAAGAAAAATAAAGGGCATCCAGATTGGTAAGGAAGAGGTGAAACTATTTCTGTTCACAGATGATATGATCTTATACACAGAAAACCCCAAGGAATCCGCAAGAAAGCTACTGGAACTAATAAATATTTCAACAAAGTAGCAGGATACAAGATTAACAAACAAAAATCAGTAGGATTCCTCTACACCAAAAAGGGAACTTCAGAAAGAAAATCACCAAATCAATCCCATTTGCAATGGCTCCAAAGAAGGTAAAGTTCTTAAATAAATCAAACCAGGGACACAAAAGTCCTAGACAAAAAACTACAAAACACTACTGTAAGAAACCAAAAGAGACCTACATAAGTGGAAAAACTTACCTTGCTCATGGATAGGAAGACTCAACATTGTGAAAATGTCAATTGTACCCAAAGTGATCTACAGATACAATGCAACCCTGATCTAAATTCCAACAGCATTTTTTAACAAGATAGAGAAACAAATAAAAAATTTTGTATGGAAAGGGAAGAGGCTTCGGATAAGTAAAACATAACTGAAGAGAAAGAACAAAGTGGGAAGCCTCACATTACCTGATTTTAGAAACTATTATTCAGCCATGGTTCTCAAAAGAGCCTGGTACTGGTACAACAACAGACACATAGACCAATGGGACAGAACTGAGAACCCAGACATAAATCTATCCATCTATGAGCAGCTGATATTTGCCAAAGGCCCCAAGTCTGTTAATTGGGGAAAAGAAAGTCTCTTTAACAAATAGTGCTGGCATAACAGAATATCCATCTGCAAAAAAATGAAACAGGACCCATACCTCACACTATACACGAATACTAATTCATAATGGATCAAATACCTAAATATAAAATTGAAAACAGTAAGGATCATGGAAGAAAAAATAGGGACAATGCTAGGGGCACTAATACATTGCATGAATAGGATACAAACCATAATTAACAATGCACAAACACCAAAAGAGAAACTAGGTAACTGAGAATTCCTAAAAGTCAAACACTTATGCTCATCAAAAGAGTTCACCAGAAGAGTAAAAAGAGAACTTATAGACTCAGAAAAAAATTTTGGCTACTACATATCCAATAAGGGTTTAATTTCTAAAATCTACAAGATACTGCAACTTCTCAACAACAAAAAGACAAATAATCCAATTAAAAAATGGGCAAGGGATATGAACAGACACTTCATCAAAGAAGGGCGGCTAACAGACACATGAGGAAATGTTCTCAATCATTAGCCATTACAGAAATGCAAATCAAAACTACACTGAGGTACCATCTCACCCCAACATTACTAGCACACACACACACACACACACACAAAAAAAAACCCATAAAATAACAAATGCTGGAGAGATTGTGGGGAGATTGGAACTCTCATGCACTGCTGGTGGGAATGTAAAATGGTACAACCACTTTGGAAAATGGTATGGAATTTCCTTAAAAAACTAGAAATAACCATACAATCCAGCAATCCCACTCCTAGGAATTTACCCTAGAGAAATAAGAGCCATCACATGAACAGACATACGCATACCCATGTTCACTGCAGCACTACTCACAATAGCAAAAAGGTGAAAACAACTTAAATGCCCATCAACGGGTGAATGGATAAACAAATTATGGTACACACACAATGGAATACTATGCCATGATAAAGAACAATGATGAATCTGGGCAACATCTTACAACATGAATGAATCTGGAGAGCGTTATGGTGAGTGAAATAAGTCAGTCACAAAAGGAGAAGTACTGTATGAGACCACTATTGTAAGAACTCAAGAAAAGGTTTACACACATAAAAAAGCATTCTTTGATGGTTATGAGGGTGGGGAGGGAGGAGAAGGGGAAATCACTAGATAGTAGATAACTGTCAACGTCACTGAAGGGAAGGACAACACACAATACAGGGAACTCAGCACAACTGGACCAAATCAAAAGCATAGAAGTGTCCAAGACACATCCAAACACTTTGAAGGACCAAGTAGCTGGGGTTGGGGCCTGGGGACCACGGTCTCGGGGAACATCTATGTCAATTGGCATAACATAGTTTATAAAGAAAATGTTCTACATCCCTCTTTGGTGAGTAATGTCTGGGATCTGGCAAGCGACCATCTAAGATACTGGTCCCATCCCACCCAGAGCAAAGGAGAATGAAGAAAATCAAAGACATAAAGAAAACAGTAGCCCAAAGGGCTAAAGGACCACATGAACCAGAGACTCCACCAGCCTGAGACTAGAACTAGATGGTGCCTGGTTACCACCAATGACTGCCCTGACAGGGAACACAGCAGAGTGCCAGATAGAGAAGGCGAAAAATGTAGAATAGAATTCAAATTCATGTGAAAAGATCAGAAATAATGGTCTGACAGAGACTGCAGGAAGCCCCGAAACTATGGCACACGGACACTCTGCTAACTCAGAACTGAAACCACTCCCAAAGCCCACTTTCCAGACAACGATTAGACAGGCTTATAAAACAAAAAATAACACAGGTGAGGAATGTGTGTCTTAGTTCGATCAAATATACGAGAGCAAATGGGCAGCTTCTGTCTAAAAGCAGGCCAAGAAGGCAAGAAGGGACAGGAATCGGAAGAAAAGACATCGGGAAACCAGAGCGGGGGGTGGGGGAGAGGAAAGAAGGGGTAAGGGGGAGCATGCTGTCACATTGTGGGAATTGCAACCAATGCCACAAAACAATATGTGTATAAATTTTTGAATGAGAAATTAACTTCAGCTGTAAATTTTTACCTAAAGCACAATTTAAAAAAAAAAAATGCAATAAATAAATTAAAAAAAGGCTTACGTTTCTGTCCAATTCTCCAGCGAGATAGCATCCCTGGCCTGCTGGCTTTGTGGTGCCAGAGAATTCCATGGGGTCCCCAAGGACACCATTTCAAAGAGAAAGTCCCGCTCACCCCTTAGTGCCATGGAGTTTGCAGTGAGAGTCCAGTCTCCTTGCTCTGAGGGAGGGTACATTTTGGAGAATGCTGAGCACTGGAGAGTTGAAGACTTGCTTGCTCCAAACACGAGGGGTGACGGAAACGAGACTGAAAGTCGAACAGACCACAGAAAAAGTCCTCAGGAGATTTCTGAATGGGAATCTAAACTGCTGTGTAAACCTTCACAGAAAACACAATGAAGTATTATTTTAAAAAAATGACATTCTCAGGAGAAAAAAATGGAATTGCTATGATAAAGTTAATGTGAGGATTGGACTACAAAAACAACAACAAAAAATAACAAACATGCATTTACCATAGGACCCTGGACATTTATCCCAATGAGGAAAGTTTATGTCTTCCCCCAAACCTGCAAACAATGGTTCACAGCAGCTTTATTTGTAATAGCTAAAATATGAAACAACCAAAATGTCCCTCAATAAGTGGATCATTAAATCGACTGTAGAATGCCCGTACCACAGAATCTTATCTTTACCACGTGAACCCATGGTGGTGCCAAAGGAAGAGAACTGAAAGTTTGGAGTTTCGAGTCTGTCTGGAAGTGCCTCAAAATAAAGGCCTGAGAGCCTCTGAAAACCCCATGGAGGGCAGTTCTACTCTGACACATGTGAGGGCACCACGAGTCAGACTTGTTTCAATGATAACTGGTTTTCATTAAAGAAAAGAATACAGATGCAAAGAGCTAAGTAAATTTCCCAAGATCACATACCAGTAAGTGGCTGGTTCAGGCAGGACTGGAATGTTGCTTGGTCTTAGGCCAAAGCTAGCGTCTTTTTTCTCTTCTCAAGGAGAGAAGGAGTTGGAAAGCAAGAGGAGGACTTGGAGAGGAGGCACATGGGCAAACACAGGACCAGCGCCGGGGATGGTCCTGTTTTTTGGGGGCTGCAGGGAGAGCAGTTCCTTAACAGAAAGAAAGACTCCCACCCCAAGTGCACTGGAGCTTGTGCAAACCAGGACACAGAGGTGCATTACTGGCCTCGGGGCTGTGTGACCTGCATGTTGAACCCGAGGCTAGCCCAGGAGCAGCTCTGAGAACTTGGAGGCTGTGCTGCCTTTCAGGAGCGCCAGCTAGGGACCTTGGGGGTCACCTGCTTTGGGACTAGCTCAGCATTCTGAAACCAAAACACATGTCATCACAGGAAATCATTGGGTGCTCAAACCTTCTCCTCCTCCTGGTTAGAGAGGGAGATGGTGCAAGAGGCTTCCTAGCAGGTGTGCCCCAGAGGCACGTGTGACCTGCAGCCAAGTAAATAAAACCCACAAGGCTGCCCTGCAGACCTATCCTTCTGCAGCTGGAGGCTAGATCCAAGCCTGGTATGGCCTTTCTGCCCAGCCTCGGAGCAGAGACCTGGGTGCTCCTGGTGGCTGGCGGCACCCTCTTGCTGCTGTGAGTCTCCACCGTTTTCTCCCACTCTGGGTCGGTGTCAGAGGGTGGGAAGTCTCCATCCAACATGGGATTAACAAGAAGTGGGTCGGGGGGGCCCAGCCTCCCTAAGGTTTGCCTTGCTGAGATTACTGGGTGGAGGAAGAAGGGGTGGGAGGCTGTGGGGGACTGGATGGGGTGAGGAGAGATGGAAAGTGTGGGAGGCTGAATGGGGTGAGGGAAAGCAGGAGAGTGTGGAAGACTGGATGGGGGTGAGAAGAGGTGGGGAGGGTGTGGGGAGCTGAGTGGGTGATAAGAAGCAATGAGGTGGGGGCGCTGGGTGGAGTGAGGAGAAACAGGAATGTGTGGGGAGCTGAGTAGAGGAGGAGAAGCAGGAGGGTGTGAGGGGCTGGGTAGGGTGAGGAGAAGCAGGAGGGTGGGGGGACTGGGTGGGGTGAGGAGCAGTAGGAGGGTGGGGGGGCTGGAAGGTTGAGGAGAGCTTGGGAGGGTGGGGGCTGAATGGGTGAAGGAAAGCTGGAGGGCGTGGAGGACAGGTTGGGTGAGGAAAAGCAAGAGGGTGTGGGGCTGGGTGGATGAGGAGAAGCAGGAGGGTGTTGGGGCAACCCTTCCTGGAAGAAGCCGTGGTCTGTAGACACCTACTCAGCTGGTTGGGGTGCTCCTGCCCCTCTGAACAGGGCCTTGGGGTTATACACAGGATGGGTGGTTGGGGTACCCAGGTGCCCACTCCACACAGGCTGACATTGCCCAGGGCCTGGCATCTAAGCTTGAATTCCCAACACAGGACTCATCTTTCGAAGACCTTGTTTCCAAATAAGATCATGTTCATGTTCACTGGCACCAAGGAACTAATGGCTCACATGAATCATAGCCTCCTCTAATCTGAGACTAGAAGAACTAGATGGTGCCTGGCTCCCACTACAGGCCACTCTGACCAGGATCACAATAGAGGGTCCTGGTTAGAATGGGTTAAAAACATAGCACAGAATTCAAATTGAAACAAACAAACAAACAAAAAATGCCAGACTTACTGGTCTGAAAGAGACTGGAGAAACCCCCAAGACTGTTGCCCTCAGACAACTTTCTAACTTGAAACCGAAGACACTCTGGGAGGTCACCTTTCAGCCAAGTAATAGAAGGGCTATAAAATAAACAATAATTAATACCTGTGAAGAACGTGCTTCTTAGAACAATCAACTATAACGGACCAAAAGGGCAACACTTGCCCAAAACCAAAGATGAGAAGGCAAGGAGGGACAGGGAAACAGGACTAATGGAAATGGGGAAACCAGGGAGGAAATTGGGAGAGTGCTGACTCATTGCAGGAACTGCAACCAACGTCACGGAACAATTAGTGTAAGAATCATTGATTGGAAAACTAATTTGCTATGTAACTTTCACCTAAAGCACAATTAAATGTTAAAAGAAAATATGATGAAATCATACATAAGTTATTGTTTTGTAGCTTTATCATGTCAGAATGACATGAGTAGGTTATGTAGGTCAGAGAGAATTTCTTTTATCCAGAGTTAGATGTCAAACCCCTAGGTAGCACAAGCAGTTTACACATGGCTGCTAATCTAAAGGCTGGAGGTTCAAACCCACCCAGCAGCTCTTCAGAAGAAAGGCCTGATGACCTGCTTCTGTAAAGATTGCAGCCAAAAAAACCCCTCTGGAGCAGTTCTACTTTGTAACACACGGGTTGCCATGAGTCAGAATAGATTTGGCGACAACTAACAGCAATCCAACTATGGAAATCCATGCGGCCAACTTAAAAAAAAGTGGTGCCATGGCGACCCCATGTGTGTAAAAGTAGAACAGTGTTCCATGGGGTTTTCAACAGTTGATTTTTCTAATGTAAATCACCAGGCCTTTCTTCCAACACTCCTCTGGGTGAATTTAAACCTCTAGCTTCCAGTTAGCAGCCGAGTGCATTCACCGTTCACACCATCCAGGGACTACCCATCTCTCATCACTCCCTGCAAAGGAAGAAATGAGATAGGTGGACTGAAGGGGTGTTTTGGATCATTTTGACTATAGAACTAGCCTTTGTATGGATTCGGCTCCTCAGTTGCGCTAGCCACATTTCAAGTGTTCGGTAATTAAATGTGGTTAGTGGTTATCATAATGAACAGCACAGATATGGAGCATTTCCATCATGGCAGGGAGTTCGACTGGACAAGCATCTTCACTTTCAGCCTCTCTTTCCTTCATAGGTATGGGATATGGCCATATAAATTTTTTCAGAAGCTGGGTATTCCTGGACCCAGTCCTCTACCACTTGTTGAGACATTTTTGGAATATCGAAAGGTGAGTGTGTGTCAGAGCCATTTTGCCCCCCAGAACTTGGAATTTCTTGGCTAGTTCAACTAATTCTAATTCTTCTGCCCTCTGTCTTGAAATTAAGAGGTAGAGTTAGGAAGACAAGGAGGAAGGAAGACTAAAACCGAGGCCCAAGACAAGGCAAAGAGGCCTTATTATTGCAATCTCCACAGGAGAAGGTTTGACTGGCTGAAGGTGGAAATAATTTTTTCACAAGCCCCTGGCCCCGATGGATTTGCACAATGGAATGTGTGGATTTTTCTTTTTAAATTTCTGGAGCAATGTCTTCCCCCTGTGCTCCGGGGAGATGAGATTTCATTCTCATAATCCACAGATCTCTCAGCACCAACTGGATGAAGCAGTAGTGTGGAGATTGTTTGCATGATAAATCCACCCCTTGCAGCTAAATTCCACTTAGTAGACTAATTTGGAAAAATAGACGTAAACCAGCGCTGATTTTTCAGGTTGAAAAGTGGTGGAGTAGAACACTTGGATTTCTGTCCCCATCCCTGGGTAAGAATTTCATTAGGCCAAAGGCTAAAGATTTAAATTCCTGCATGATCTCCTTCCATACATGGTCAGGATTTTGAGCTAGTCCAATGTTGTCCAAAATTTTGACATTCAGGTACCATTTTCACCAAGTTTGCCCATATCCAAATACCACCTCTACTATTATTTACTTAATGATCTTCTTTAAAGAAACCTCCACCCCCCCTTTTTTTTTATTTAAATCATTATAGCCATTACCATCAAGTCATGACACAGCTGTTTGCACTTGACTACTAACCTAAAGGTTAGTAGTTCAAACTCATTCAGTGGCTGTGCAGAAGAAAGGTCTAGTGATCTGCTTCAGTAAAGATCATAGCCAAGAAAACCCTATGGAGCACAGTTCTACCCTGTAACACTGGAATAAATCAATATAGCTTTATCTTAAGAAACCATATCTTGAAAATTCTGAATTTAATGTGCTATAGTTATATAGGAGCCCTGGTGGCACAGTGGTTAAGAGCTATAGCTGCTAACTAAAAGGTCAGCAGTTCAAATCCACCAGCTGCTCCTTGGAAACCCTATGGGGCAGTTCTACTCTGTCCTATAGGATCATTATGAGTCCGAATCAACTCAATGGCAATGGGTGTGGTTTGGTTTATACTTACATAACTATAATAAAATATATTTTTCCTAATTTACCCACAAGTAGTTAACATTAACAGAACAAATATTTGTGCATGTACCCACAAAATCATCTGCGTATCACTTTGGGAAACAATGGACAGGGAAATGGAAAAGGGCCCTTAAAGTATCTAAGCAGTAATTACACAGCATTTTATGTACAGCCTTTTTATCATCTGTCTAACAGACTTTCCTCTTCTACAGGGAATGTTAGAATTTGACTTGGAATGTTCTAAGAAATATGGCAAAATATGGGGGTAAGGGTCTCACAATTAAGCCCTCTCCCACACCCACAGTAAGATAAAGCATCAGGAGTCTTCTCTTTGGAGCAGTACCATGCTGTATAAAAGCCCAGCCCATCAGCCAGCCTGGAAATGAGGCAGCAAGGCCACAGTGTCCACTGTCATCTTTGTTGTCTAACATCCCTGACCTTCAAAACTGGTCACTTGTATACTGGATTGGGAGGCATTTCAATATCCTGGTCCACTTGAAAATTAATTAGCCTGTATTTGGGCCAAAAGTATGCATTCAGGGTCCTGAATCAGGCACAGGACAAGGACTCACCCCTCCCAAATCTTCTTGGAGAAACTAATGTAACAGTAGGATCTTGACAAATGTATTGATGAGGATGTGGAGCAACTGGAACTCTCATACATTGCCAGTGGGGGTGTAAAATGGCACAACCACTTTAAGGGATGGTTTGACAGTACTTTTCTCAAGTTAAACATACATTTATCCCATGGTCCAGCGATTCCACCCCTAGAGAAATGAGAACATGTGTCCACAAAAAGACTTGTATTAGAATGTTCCTAGCAGCTGCCTTAGTTTCTAGTTCTGCCATGACAAAATACCAAAAACTGGGCGGCTTTAAAGAACTGAAATTTATTTTTCTGGAGGCTAGAAGCCCACATCAGGGTATTGGCCATGTTGATTCCTTCTGAGGGTCCTGAGGAAGGAACTGATTCATACTTCTTTCAGGGCTTCTAATGGCAATCCTTGGCGTTCCTTTGCTGCTTGTAGATACATCTTCACATGGCATCTTCCCCCTGTGTAACTCTGTCTCTGTTCTCCCCTTTTATAAGACACCACTCAGAAGAGACTAGGACAGACCCTACACTGGTGCGACCTTGTTAACTGACCACATCAGATAAAAACCTATACCCCAAAAAGGTCTCATTCACCAGTAAAGGGGTTAGGCCTTCGACATATCATTTTTGGGAACACAATTCAATCCATAACAACATCCTTATTCATAATCCAAATGCTCATCAACACAAAATGGGTAAACGAACTGTGGCATATCCATACCATGAAATACTTACTACTCAGCAATAAGAAGAAACAAACTATTGATACTCACACCAATGTGCATAAATCTCACTGATATTATTTTGGGCAAAGGAAGCTAAACATGAAGTAATACAGACAATGTGGACTTGGTGTGGGGAGATGAGTGAGGCGATGTTCTATATCATATTTTGGGTGGTGGTAATCACATTTGTCAAAACTGATTCAAAAGGAACTCTTAAGATTGCATGTGCCAAAGCAGAATGAGGCAAAAAGACTCTGGAATATCTTGTGCACAATCAGAATTAAATATTTCAACATGGCTGAAAGATACGATGCTTGATAAAAAGGTGAGCAATAGGTAGGTTTGAGACAGTGAAAAAAATAATACTAGGCTATATCCTTGTAGTTAGATACTCAGATTTTTATTCAAGTGATAAGGAGAAAAATGAAAGGGGGGTTGCTTAATAATAAAGTTCCTAGACAGAAAATAACCAAAAAGCCAAGATTGCTAACTAGGAAACTGGGGGTTGGGAAACATGTTTTACATAGTGAATTAACTCAATCACAAAAGGACAAATATTGAATGATCTCACTTATATGAAATATCTATAGTAAGCAAACGCATAGAGACCAAATTGTTATCAGTGGTTACTCTGGCTGGCGCGAACAGTTTGTGCCCAGCTGCTAACCAAAAAGTTGGTGGTTGGAACCTGCCCAGCAGCACTACGGAAGAAAGGGCCTGGTGATCTGTTTCCATAAAGATTGCAGCCAAGGAAACCCTATGGAGCAATTCTGCTCTGTAACACATGGGTCCTCATGAGTCGGAATCAACTCCAGGGCACAAGACAACAACAACAAGAACCAGGGGAGGGAGGGAGCAAGAGTTGTTGAGGAATCAGTGAGTTTCTGTTTATGGTGATGGAAAATTTGGCAATACTGATTGGTGGTGGTTATGCAACATGATTGATGTAATTGAGATCGCTAAATTGTACAAGTGAAAAATAAAAATATAGATAGTCCATTTACCTCTAGTCTTGTTTTGGGTGTTGGTATTTGCAACAGCATATATGGAGGCAGATAGCCTATCAGGGTCATCCTGGATCCTGTCCTCATCAAGACGATTCTGGTCAAGGACTTCTACACTGTTTTTACCAACCGACAGGTAGGTTCTAATGAGAGCTTGCTTCTTACATGCGTGTTCCTAATAGGAAGTGAGTTCAACTTGGGCTTTCTCCGCTGGTTATTTCCTTTCCCTTGCTCTAAACCTGAGATAGGAATGAATCATGAGTTAACATGCTTAAAGCCCTTTTCCATATTCATATTTCCATTTTGTGTTCGAAGGGCTTTGAAAAATATGCCTTAAGTCTAAAATCATGCCAGAATCTAAGAGGCTGGCCAGTTGCCTGAGAACCAGTGGTGATTTTTCAAAAATAAAGACAAGTTAATATGGAAATTACAATATCCAATGGTGGAATCCAAAGTAGTATTATTTATCCTTTGGAAAAGTTAAAGTGGCCATATGTCATGGTGGCTAGGATCTGAATGATTATGATGGATTAGGGGCCCTTGCCAATTGGCAGTATCTCATGCAAGGGGGATTTGGAAGATCTCGGGTGGGCTCCTGTCAAAATCTCTCCCATTTCCACCTGTCATAATAACAACAATGCCACCATTGGAGATTAATTCTTTTGTGTCTTTAGGGCCAAGATCATGTTTTAATCAATTTTATAATCACTCTTCCATTCACCCACAGCACAGTAGTACCAACGTTAAACAGTGCCGAAACATGCTGGACACAAATTTTCTGGAAAGTTCTCCTGTACACGTCGCAATCTATTATTAGTGGCAAATGTTCCAAATCTGGTTTCTAGTCCCATTTTTGGCGCAAACCAACCTGGTGACCCCAGCACAATGCAGGCCCTTTAGGTATCTGAGCTTCTTCACATTTCAAAGCGGGGGGGAGGTGTTATCCATTCTTCACATAAGATTTCGACAATCTTCTCTCCAGTGTGTTGTGTTAGACTAAAAACTAATCATTTAGAAACATTCATGTCTAATTATGTTTCTCACCTTGACTCTGGCAAAGAAATAAATAGACTGGCTAGTTCTGCCACAAGGACTGGTTTAAGAACCGCTTACCCTAGTGACAGAGGCACTCTGCTTTGCAAAGGGTGAAGCTTTCAGCATTAGATCTCAGCACACCACACCAGACCTGTTGATAGGTTGTCCTCTTCCTCAACAGCCCACCTTTGCATCCCACTGCTGAGCACTCTAGAAAGAGGCAATGTCACACATTATTTGTTTTTGCTAATGTGTCTAATCCTCCCTTAGATAAACTCCCGAGTATGCCTGTTTTTGTTCACACAATCCTCTTTAGAACTTCACTTTAAGTGGAAGTTTGAAATCAGGTCTCCCCATGGCAGAGGATGAAATGTGGAAGTGGATCAGGGCCATTATCTCCCCAACCTTCACCAGTGGGAAGCTCAAGGAGGTAAGTGTGGGCAAGCCAGCCCCAAAGAGTGGGCAGGAGGGAGGCTGGGACCAGGGAACTCAGAGCTATGAAGATCAAGGAGAGGGAAGATGCCTTGGCAGGTGGGGATGGGGTCAGGGTCTTGGGTCTTGAAGCTCTATTTCCCATCATTGGGTTTCCTTCCTCCTTTCCTCTCTTCTTTCCTTCTGCCCTTCCTTCCCCTCTTTCTTCTTCATTTCTGTCCTCTCCCTGTCTATTTCTTCTATGCTCTCATTTTCTCCCTCCCTCCCTTCCTTCTTGTTTTTCTTCAGTACAGATTTAGTATGTACTAGTCATTGAGAGATAAACAGTGTGCATAAACATGTCATCTTACACACTAATGGCAGGCTCAGACACTGATAAATATTGATATAACTCCTCCTTCCTATGTGGTCACTAAAAGTCGGAATCAACTGGATGGCAATGGGTTTTTGTTTGTTTGTTTGTTTTCAGGGGAAGTTAAATATCTGATTTCAAATTCTCTTAAATTCTTAGATTATAGGTAAACTTGAGCAACATCATTATATCAATAATATGTGTAACAACATGGTTTAACCAGTTGCTATTGAGTCAACTCTAATTCATGGCAACCACATGAGTGTCAGAGAAGAACTGTGCGCCATAGGGTTTTCATTGGCTGGTTTTTCAGAAGTAGATCACCAGGCCTTTCTTCCAAGGCACCTCTAGGCAAACTTGAACTTCCAACTTTTCAGTTAGCAGCCAAGCAAGTTACCCATTTGCACCATGTGGTATAGGCATAAGTATATCAGTATTTTTAAGAAGAGGAGAAGAGAAAGTAAGTCACAGAACTCAAGTGTCCAAATACAAGTATAGTGACAACATTCTCTCTCCTTATGAGTGTTTTGTTTACCCGTTAATCCGTGGGGACCTTGGGCAGGGGTGTTTTGGGAATCGTGAGCTGAGATTCTAAGGCATGAGGAAACCTGCAGTGAGAATGACCACACAGGGTTTCCTCTTCTCCTTCTTGGAGCCAGAGAGAGGTGGCTCTTGGGTCCCTGCCTGTACTGAAAAGAGGTTTCTGTGTTGAGCTTACGGAATCTTCTGGAAAATGCTTTAATAGTAGATCCTCTCATGAGAAAGGAATTTAAGGTGTGGAAACATATGGAAAATGAGCCCTCTAACACTCCTTAAGATAATTCCTCAAGGGAAAGAAGAAGTGGGAAAGCGAGTAGAAGCCACATTCTTCAGTCCAAACAAGTTTTTAGGAGAAATTTAAAACTTCAAGCTCCACAGTTAGCTTTCTTGGATAGTCCTTATAAAATCTCCAGCATCTTGAAAGATAAGACAAAGTTTGTACTGTTGTAAATTTTCATTAGCTAGAAACAAACTGAAAGTCTCAATCTGGGTGGATTTTTATTGGTACTTGGCTTCTAGGCAAAAGGAGCCAGATGACAGCAGAATAAGTTCATAGCTGAAATTTAAAAAAAAAGACTTTCCAGGCGAAGTACACCCAGTGGTGAACAGGAAGCTTGTACTGCTTGTGAAAATCAACTGTACACATCTATTCCCAACTCCATGTTGGGATATCATGTTGGTACCTTGAAATTAGCCATGGTGGGAGTATTTACACCAGGAAAACTGGTAAACACCACAAATCAGGGCTTTTACCCTTGGAGAGCCATTGTTAAACATTTCTCACCATATCAAGGCTATCCTTCCATCTAGAACTCAAGCCAGGTTCCTCTCCTGCATGGTGATTGCTAAACCTAAAATGGTTCTTAAGTCTCATATCCAAGAAAGATATATATTCATGGACCCAACTCACAAAAGCAAGAAAGTCAAGTCAACCTTCAGAAACATTTTAAGAACCATAGGGAAATAAAAGTCCATCTCATTAATCAGAAAAGCCCCTTCGTCTTTTTTTAACCTGAACCCTCATTTGCTTAAAAAATTCTGATTAATGGAGGTCTTCATGGCCCAGTGGTTAAGAGTTCAGCTGCCAATCAAAAGGTTGGCAGTTCGAATCCACCAGAGCTCCTTGGAAACTCTATGGGGCAGTTCTACTCTGTCCTATAAGGTCGCTATGTTCCGGAATTGACTCAATGGCAATGCATTTTATACGTAGACTCACCCAATTGTTTCTTTTGGGGCTGGTTTAGTTCCCAGGTGACACAAACATTTTGCACTTGAACTACTAACTGAAAGGTTGGCAGTTCAAACCCACCCAGTGGCTCCGTGAAAAAAAGACCTGTCAATCTGCTTCTGTAAAGATTACAGCCAAGAAAACCCTATGGAGTGCAGCTCTACTCTGTAACACATGGGGTCGCCATGAGTAGGGATCAACTTGGTGGCAAACATTTGTTTTTTTCTTTTGGTTCCTATGGATACACTAATGACTGAATGCAAATGGTATCATTGTTCTCCAGATGTTTCCCCTCATCAAACACCATGGAGACATTCTGATGCAAAACATTGAGAAGAAAGTGGCTCAGGATGAGGTGGTGACCATGAGGGAGTGAGTATGGCCCTCCTGGAGGAATGGAAACAAAGTGGTCTCTTCATGGTGTCTGGGGATCAGATCAAGATGAATGTATGGGGCTTTGGTTAGGAAACTTGCTGGGTTACCTTTGTCTGGGGATCTTGTGATTTAATTTCCCATTTGTACCCTGAAGTACGGTTATAGAGCTCGGTGAGAGAGAAACAGGGTATAGAAAATAGGTATTGAACAAATCTTGCCTGTACTGGAACCTTTGGGGCACTATGGGTTAGGGTGCAATTGGGTATATCTTTGTTATAGTTGAAAACCGGAGCCGCTAAAGGACTTCAGGGAGCTCCTGATTGGGGAAGGTGATAGCACACCCAGCAGTTGCTAAGGTTCCCCCCTGTAGCCACTGCTTGAGACATGGTGACTAGGCTGTTAGATGACCAGTCCCATCCACCTGGAAGATGGGCAGGTTCTTGATAACCTACAACAACAACTTGGATTCCCTCTCCCCTGATGATCTCAATATCTTGGGGTGACCCTTTTCTATACTTTACACAATACTACGTTCCAGTATCAGATAAAGTTATATCTGAAACTGTGATTGAAAAGTCCTGATTATGTGACTGAGTGGTATCAGCCATATGCATTACCTGGTTGGAGCTGGCGGTCTTGAAGTTCCAGTTATTTGTCCTCTTTCAGGCTCTTCCATGATCCACTTAACTGGACCTACTGGAGTTAAGGATGATACTACAGAGGGGATAGTTAAGGTATCTCTGACCTGTAGGGTTAGAGTTCCCTTGGCTTGTAGAACCACCAGAATTTTTCCCATCCACACTTCCTGGAGAAGTAAAAAAAAAACGGGGTTAAAATCATTATTCTGTGAGTTTCTTGAACTTGTATTTCAGATCTCAAATTGGACTATAGGAATATGGTGATTTGTTGACTTCTCCTCCTTCGTGTGGAGCCATTTTAACTCTCGAGTAATGCACCCACACGGCTACTCCTGCTAATTTCAGAGATGAGTGGGTGGTCAGGAGAACTTCAAAAGGTCCTTCTCACTTAGGGGCCTGCTGATCTTTTGGGTGTTGGCTTCTCCAGGTTTTCAACAGAATTCGATCTCCTGGTTGGAACCTGTGAAGGGGAATGTCAGAAGGAAAAGACAAGAAGGAAGAAGTATATTGATTAAGAGTGTTTATGATGGCTCCCAGAGAGCGGACCCAGTTTCTTTTCTCCACCTCGGTCATTACTGAGGCGGGAAAAGTCGACTTTTCAGGAATGGTCTCCAATATATTAATTCATAAGTGCTTAACATGAGCCCACTTCGAGGGGCTACCAGGATTCTGAGCAGGGTGATGGGCAAAACTTGTATCTAAGTGGAGTTTGTCTCTTGACAAAGTTTTGCCAACGTCTTTTTCAAAGTATGATTCATCTTTTCAGTTTTTCCAGTTGATTGTGGTATCTAAGCTGAGTGTAACTTTCAGTTTATATCTAAAGCCTTACTGACTTCTGGCGTAATTTTTGCCATAATAGCTCCTCCGTTATCATTTTGGACTGATATTAGTAGACCGAAACAAAGTATCATTTCTTTGAGTAACACCTTGGTCACTTCTTGGGCTTGTTCAGTTTGACAGGGGAAAACCTCTACACACCCCAGGTAGGTGTCCACAAAGACCAACAGATATCTGAAGTTTCTGGGTGCCCAGAGCATCACTGTGAAATCTACTTGCCTGTCTTTTCCCATGTTTGTTCCCCAGTGTTGGACTCCTGGCTTTTGGGTGGGGCACAGTCTTCAAGTTGTTTCTTGCACATAGGTGACACCTCTTTGTAATGTTCCAGATGGTTTTTAGGAGATTCGGTCCAGCGACCACCTGTTGGATCCACTGGAGGCTGGTGTCTTTCCCATAGTGAGTTCCTTCATGAAGAGCCTATACTATATAAATGCGGAGACTCGGGGTGTAGAGGAATGCAAAAGGAGACATCTTTCAAATTTGACATTGAGAACCAAGCACATTGACTAAGTATGGTAACCAAGAGGGTATATAGGTTGGGCACAACCGGATGAATATCTTCTACTATTTGGTTGATTTTCCTTTGGTCTTGAACAAACCGATACTCCCTTGTCCCTGGTTTCACCAACAGTAGGATAAAGGTGTTATATGGAGACTGGTAAAAATTTAAAAGTCCAATTTCTATATATTGGTACACCACTGGTGCAGTTCCTTCTAAGGCTTCTTTACGGAGGGTATATTGCCTTTGGTTTATAGTAGGTGCTCCGAGTTTCAAGGTTATTTTAACAGGTGTGGCTGACTTAGCTCGCCCAGGCCTTTCTGATGCCCAGAACTCCAGATTCACCTTTTTTTGAATATGGAAAGGAATGCCACTAGGTGTCGCCATTTCTTCTTGCAACAGTGCTGCCTGCAAGGCTCATGCGTTTTCACATGGGGTTTGTACCAGTATTTGGGATGGTTTGAAAGTGATTTGGGCCCTCGGTTTTGACAGGAGGTCCCTTTACAAAAGGGGGGACCAGACATTCTGGCATATAAAGGAACTCATGATATAACAATTTTCCAATTTCACAATTCACTGGTTGGAGAAAAGGTCAAGTGCTAACCTTCCCTGAGACCCACACCACTGGAGCAGTGCACGGACTAAGGGGAGATTCAGCAATGTTCAAAACCGAAAAGATGGCTCCCATATCCAGGATAAAGTCAGTAGGGTGCCCTCCCACCTTTGGGGTCACCTGAGGCTCATGGTGGGAGATAGTCAGTGAAAGTTCTAGCCCCAGGCCCCGTCATTCTGAATCATCTCTTTGTGAATGCCCCTCTTGATAGGCTTGGAGGGTAGTGGGTCATGGCTGTCTTTCTTTGGCCTGTGGACATTCTTGTTTCCAGTGTCCATGTTTTTTACAGTAAGCACACTGGTCAGGTTGCAGGGGTGGCCCCATCCCACGCCCTGGGATCATCCTTCTCCTGGCACCCTGCTTTTCCTCCAGACCTGGAGGGGCTATGACAGCTGCCATCAAGGCTATTTTTGCTTCATTTTTTTGTTTTTACTTTTGTTCCATCACCTGATCTCTATTATAGAAAACTTTAAAAGCAATTTTGACTAATTGCTCTATGGGCATCTCGTATCCTCCCTCTAACTTCTGCAATTTCTTCTGAATATTGGGAGTGCTTTGGAAAATGAAAGTTATATTCACAAGCCAGGAATTGTTAGGGTCCTCAGAATTTATATTGGTGTTCTGGCGGAATGCATCTGTCACTCTGTCTAAGAAAGTGGACGGGTCTTCCTTTTCCCCTTGAATAACTTCCCTAACCTTTTGCAGGCTCTTGGGCTTAGGGGCCCTGTTCCTTAGTCCAGTAATCAAACAATCCCTGTATACTTGAAGTCTATTTGCCCCTTCCTCTTGGTTATGATCCCGACCCAGGTCTTATATTGGAATGGCTTCCATCTCCCAAGGTCGGGTTAATGGGTTCAAGTTATGGAGCTTATCGGCCTCTTTCAAAGCCTGTTCTAACACTATGCAGTGCTCCTCTGAAGTTAATAGTTAAAAGGGCCTGTATATCTGACCAAGTAGGGCAGTGAATAGAGAAAATAGACAGGAACAATTCTGCCTTTCTATTCGGGTCACTCTGGTACAGGGGGTTGTGATTCTTCCAGTTATACAAATCGGAATGGAAAATGGAGTGTGCACTGACATTGTTCCTCAAGGCCATCCTTCAGCATCCATTCCAGCTGGGAACTCTCTTAAGGGAAATTGCCCTGCTTGAACCCTGACAGCGCCCTCAATGAAAACAGTACCCTGACGGGTGTGAGAAGGGGATACTGTACCTGATGAAGTTGGACTATTACTTTCTGATTCCCTTCCTTTATCAGTTACTCCTAAGGTGGCTGAATTAGAATCAGGCTCAGCCCTTCTGGTGGGGGATTCTGCCATCATTCCTTGACCTGACCTGTCAGCTTCTACTGCACCTTCCCTATATGGGGGAGAGGGAGCCGAAGCAATTACCGGGGCTAGTCCTTCCAAGAGGGGATCCTCCAGTGAGGATTCAGGAAGCACTTTTGCCTTCGACTTTCCCTGGAAAAGAACGTGGTTAGAGGGATTCAAAGTTTGTTAGAGAGACATGAAAACTTGAACATAGGGATCTTCGTCCCATTTTTTTTCCCTTCTACAAAACAAGTCAAGCTGTAAAATCGTGTTGTAAGCCAAAAAACCATATTGGGGCCAATGTTCCTGGTCCCCCAGCTGGTATTGGGGCCGTACATTGTTACATAAGCATATCATTTTTTTTCCTTATCATAGGCTTATAGCTATACCATTTACAGCTTATAGCTATACCATTTGCTGGAATGCAGCCCAGAGGAGATTTGGCTGGAATAGATGGGCATCCTCCCATAATGGCTGTTTTTCTTGAGTGCACTTTTCCTACCAATGGGTGAGTCCCTCTTTTCTGAGCACAATGGTGATTTGTTATACTGTCCACCTGAAAATCCACCCCCTCTCTAGTTATGTTCAGTTTGGTCAGAATTCCCTGAATTCCTATTCTGGGCCCCCAACCTGCTTGGAGGCATTTTTTTTAAGAATAATTTGTGCATGATGGACCTCTTCTGACTGATGGAACCAGTTATCAGAACTAAAAAACTGAAACCAGAAATATTCATGAATTTGGTGACAAGTTTTATACAGGTAAGGGTTAACAAGTCAATGACATGAGAACACTGGGACTTCACAGGGACAAATGCACATAATTAACAGTAAGCAAACACAAAACATGATTTTACCTTAACCTCTCAGGCACTCTCTGAGGGAATCATGCACTACACACTACAGACAAACCCTGAAAGAGTGATGGAGGAGATCTCAGCAGCCTCAACCTCCCAGACAATCCCAGGGGCATTCACACACCCTAAAACCAAGACTCTACAGTCACCACGAGTCCCTTCTTGTGATCTTACTCATGGGATCAGTCATCTGAGGTGTCTCCTGCCTCAGAAACCAAGGGCTCAGGCCTATCTCTGAAAACCTCAGC